GGCAAAATTGGCATATCATTTTGAGAACTTCAGAACTAACAAAGAAAACGAATAATATAAACACGAGCGGAGTTAACGATGATGGTGAGAGTGAAGGAGAAGATCTAAGAGAGCGGAAGTAATAACAGTGGGTATAAAGGATTCTCAGCGAAGGTTAGTTTTTCAGTAAGATTATGGTGTTATACAATTATTTAGTCTGATTTTATTCTCAACTTCATCACACTTATCGAGACTCCTCATGTTCACTCAGACCTCGGTCCTCGGCATCACCATCATTCATGATGACGAGAAATATGCGAGATCAAAAACTAAAGAGTTGTCAAGACCAAAACATAAAAACTTGCAGGAACCAGACTGCTCTCTAAAAAAAAAAGGAGTTTTGCAGAACCCTCCGAAAAGGTTCTGTAGATTTCCAAAAGACTCCAAATGTGTTCAAAGTCTCAAAAAAAGGATAAAAAATTCGACAGAACCTTTTGAAGGTTCTGTGGAGTATCCACTAGCAGAACCATCTCTTGCAGAACCTTTTTTTAGGTTCTGTAGAGCAAAAAAAGGTTCCGTGAGAAAATACGAATCCTTGAAGGTTCTGTACAAAACCATTAGGCCTCAGTACGGAACCATTAGGGTTTCTCGCGAAACGTTAATGGTTTTGTGCAGAATCCTCAAGGTTTCGTACTTTTTCGCTGAACCTTTTTTTGCTCTACAGAACCTAAAAAAAGGTTCTGCAAGAGATGGTTCTGCTAGTGAATACTCTACAGAACCTTCAAAAGGTTCTGTCGAATTTTTTATCCTTTTTTTGAGACTTTGGACACATTTGGAGTCTTTTGGAAATCTACAGAACCTTTTCGGAGGGTTCTGCAAAACTCCTTTTTTTTTAGAGAGTAGGACTCCACACGAATTTTAGCCAGCAGAAACCAATTCTAGTCGGTCTCAAACCAATTCCCTAAAAATGTCGAGAACGTCATAAGAATTATAGCTAGCTGAAGCCAAGTCTAGCCACTTTCAAACTACTTCTATATAAATTCTTGGGATTCCATAAGAATTCGAGCCAGCTGAACCCAAGCCTAGCCAGTTTAAAACCAATTCCATACAAATTTCTAGCATTCCATAAGAGTTATACCCAACTGAAGCCAAGCCTATCCACTTTGAAACCAATTCCATATAAATTTCTAGAGTTCCATAAGAACTATAGCCAACTGAGTCCAAGCCTCGCCAGTTTGAAACCAGTTCACTATAAATTTCTATGATTCCATAAGAATCATAGCTAACTGAAGCCAAGCCTAACCAGTTTGAAATTGATTTCATACAAATTTCTATGATTCCAATAGAACTGTAGACAACTGAAGCCAAGCCTAGCCAGTTTGAAACCAATTCCATATAAATTTCTACAGTTCCATAAGAATTGTAGGCAGCTCACGCCAAGCCTTGCCAGTTTGAAACCTATTTCATATAAATTTCTACAGTTCTATAAGAATTGTCGGCAGCTGACGCCAAGCCTTGCCAGTTGGAAACCATTTCCATAAAAATTTCTAGAGTTCCATAAAAATTGTACGCTGCTGACGTCAAGCCTAGCCAGTTCCAAACCAATTCCATATAAATTTCTACAGTTCGATAAGAATTGTGACCAACTGACGCCAAGCCTTGCTAGTTTGAAACCAATTCCATTTAGATTTCGAAGATTCCATATGAGTTGTAGGGAATGCGGTGCAATTCGAACCAATTCCAGACCAAGTCTATAACAATTCTTAGGACTTCATGGGAATTATAGCTAGCTTAAGTGAAGTCTAAGCGGTTTCAGACTAGTTTCATACGGAATCTTGGGTTCGATATGGATTTTGGTAACTCAAACCAATTCCAATTCCTGCAATTCCAATTCCAATTCCGACCAATTCCAATTCCAATTCCAACCAATTCCTACCAATTCCAGTTCCAACCAATTCCAATTCCAACCAATTCTAAGAATTGGGATTGGTTGGAATTGGAATTGGTGCATCCCTAGGTTTTATTGAAAAATTGAAGAATTGGGCCCCGGATCAGGCCTTTTTCTGAGAAGGAAAGCATCGAATGAAGTTCTAAGACTGTCCATTTGATAGATCTCGTTTAGATTCAGTCGGGAAGTTATATGTTGCTCTTGAAAAGTACTCCTCGGTGAGTATCTTCAGGTCTTAGGAGAAATCTGCGGATCGAATCTGTGATTGACCGTTTCTGAAGGGAAGGATTTATCAAATTGAGCTCCAAAGGTGTCCATTCGATAGAGCTCGTCGAGATCTACCTGGAAACTCAATGATTAAGTTGGAAAGTATTCCTGGACAAATCGCGACAAGTTTTTCCAAAATTGTCTGCATTTTACACGTTTTTTTGATGATATTTGGAGTTTTTCGCGGTTTGAGGGAGGGGCTTGAGAAAAATGAATCATGTGGTTGGATAGAGCTCGTCGAGTTCTACTTGGAAAGTTGTTAGACTATTTTGGAAAGTTTTCTGGAACGAATCCTGACCTAAGATATCCTACGTGTTGGATTGGTGTCTTTCTTTTAGGAAGAGTACTTTCTACGATTTGTGATGCTTTTAAAGATTTGCGTGAAATTCAGTAGCAGTGATAGCAGAATGACTCGCCTTTAGCAATAAATTGTCCATTTACTAGCAAAATATTTTTTATTTGTTTTTTTTTCACCTTTTGAAAAATTGTTTTTCTTCCCTCAATAGCATTTATTCATAGTTTAACATACTTGCGAAAACTCTCAATCGTTGTATCTCAAAAGGTATCCATGAAACAGAAGCTTTATTAATGTAAAGAAGTTTTTTTTCACAATAGACAAAGTTCACAATAAACAACAGAAGAAGTAGGAAAAACTGTACATTAAACTATTCATTTAAGTCTATAAAAACATTTAACGTTATCCACAAGTTGATCAGCTTTTTTTCGAATAGTCAATTGAAATAATTGTGCAATAAATTGATAAATCTATACCACAAATATTCGTTGCGTCATTCCTCGCCATTGTCATTTACTGGTAACACATATTTTATTCTTTCCGTTCTTATACTGTCCATACGCCCGTTTTGTTTACTTCCCCGTTTTCTTTACACGTTACATAGATATAAAAGGAGACGGAGCTATGGATATTAATTCTAACTGTCGAAGTCAAAGCGACCACAAAGAGTATGTACAGTTAGAACATGGAAGTATAACAAACAAAGAATACAATCTTGATGATTATCAATATGTACCTTCTCAAAGTAAAAAAAGAAGAAATAACAAAAATAACTAGAAATCTTCGACGAATTCTACACAGACTCATAAACGTAGAATTATAGAACAGACCAAGAATTTTCTAAAACAAAAACAAAACATTCAAGGAACAACTGCAACACAATCATAGTATTTTAACTATAATCAGACATTAAATAAGCAAAACTATGAATCGTCTGTGCATAAACAAATTTATTTATCAACTAGTAGAAAACCAGATCAACGCGATTCATTTCTTCCTTGACGTATTATGTTAAAAAATGATCAATATCCATCACAAGATGTCACTATCATAAAAGACAAATAAAAAATACAAATTATGAACATCTGTTGAACAAATCAAAATGAACAGATAAAATTTACAACTGCGAATGCATTTTCGATCTACCTCAAAACGTTCGCTCATCCTATTCAATTGTAATGTTAAATGTGCCAACACAATGGAATATAGGAAGTTTTTATGATGAATTCAAGTGACAATATTAAACTATCCTTAAAAGTGAACGTCTATATATTTGGAGAGGATGTCTGATATATAAATTCCTAATAGACTTCTCTTCAAGTAAGAAACGTTCGAAAATACTAAAGAGTAAACGTATGTTACTTGCTGATGGCAATACATTTTAAACAATTAAACCGTATGTTGCAACTTGCACGAGTGCTCAAGTGCTACATATGTCAACAATATAACGATCACATAGCATTACACTGTTATAATAAAGATAAACCAATCTGTTGTAAATATTGTCAACAACAAAACTTATTCCTGAATGCAAGAATAAAACCTGTTTTGCATATATATTAAAGAGAGCTACATGGCTGAATACCTAAACTGTCAGAAGAAAATTGAAACTCGGAAATTAAAAAAATTGCAAGCAAAGCCATCATCATTAACATCAATGTATTTGTTAAACTCAAATAGGTGGACAGGTAATAGTGCTCATCATCTCTTTAAAAATTTGACAATAATATCAACTCCAACAAATAATAACCCAAACGATAACTTTTGTCCACTGGAAATTTTTGGTAAGATACATTTAAATATACAAAGTATACTACAGCAACAAATAGATTTCAACAAACATATAAACGAATTAATCGTCCATCTAAAACGTCAAGCACAAGAAATTATTAATATCAATAAAACCATTAATTAAATCAAATGTTCATTGTTGAAAGAAATGGTATAAATAATATAGACGCAAAATTAATTCCCAACAAGAACGACAAAATGACTCTTCATTCAAAAATTAACGCTCATCGTTGCCGCTTGCTTCACTCTCGACTGAATGTTTGACTCTTTCCTTATAATATATTACTATAGACGCTCAATCATTAACAATATCAGGTGTATGCATAAGTGTGGCTCTTGAGTGCGGCTGCGGCTATGGATGATTGTAGGTGTATATGTAAGCAGTGAGTGTCCATGTGGGTTGGGACACTAATGAAGACATCTGCATTCACCTCCACAACTACACTCATCCAGTATCACATCGACATTCCACATCCACATCCACATCCATCGACACCCTCCAAAGAAGAGAAAACAACAGGTTTTTAAATAAGACATTGATGAATTTTCGTTTTAAAGCATACATTTAATTATTATCCTGTATTCACTGAATCGATAATGTTTATTAATTAAAAATCAACTGTAATTTTCTCAAATCAATCTAAATATACATTTGTTTGAAGGTCCTCAAACGATTAAAAACATTTAGAAAGAATTTTTTCTCTCATTCTTTTGATGTTCCTCAAATGTTGTTAACGTTCCTTTCAATAACTTCCGAAATTCACCTCTTACTACTCCTGTTAAAATTGTTGATAAAACTATGAATGGATAAATCATAATTGATGATAATTGATCACGTTTAGTAATAATCATAACTATATATGAAAAAAAAAATGATATAATATAACTAATTAATACTTGAATATAATAAATTCGAAAATGAATATTATTCCCAATATCAAATAAACGACAAAAATTTATTAATAATGAAGGAAAAATAATATCATCAATTGATAAATAAATTCGACCAGCGTGAAAATCACAACTAGAGAATGACAAATTCTAGGATCAATTCGATAAACGAACATATTTATCTTACTTGTCATTATTTCTAATCAATCGAGGAAAATTAAATACAAATGGTAGATTTTCTTTTATAATCCATTTCACAGCATTCATTTTTAATATATTCATACTTCCACCACTTAGTAAACAATCTAAGCCACTATTTTCAAACTAAATCAATATAAAAAACAAATTCTTCAAAAAAAAAACACTCTTCAAAGCTATCGTCTCTCACTGAAATTCAAAACTTTAGCCTTTTTTCTCTATGTAGAAAAAACATTATACAACGATTCCTTTTAAACTATTTCGATTTCTTGAATCATTCTGATGTTTAGCAGTCGTTCTATAGACATTTGTTTTCATATATTGCCGTAAAAAGTAAACCAATGGTGTTAAATCTAGTGGCGTGAAACTTATGAGATTGGTCCATCTCTTAATAAACTATTAATCATCAAACTTATCAATCAGCCAAAAGTGAACTATCTTCGAGCAAAGTGTTAATGACCTATATTGATGGAAAATTATATTTTTTAATAATTCTTGTTTTCTATAAAATAAGGTAAAAGAAGTTTGTTGTACTATGGTGGTTAATCGATGGATCATCAAAATGGTCCAACAATCAGTTTGTTTGACATTACATATTATAGTAAGTTTTGATGAATGCATTGTAATTTCAAAGCGACACACGAATCATTTTAAGTTCAAATTTGGCAACTGTGCTTATTTATCAATGCAGACGAGGACGTCTGTGACAATAAGATCCAAGAGAATGAAATACTTAAAAAATAATGACTGCATAATGTTTCTCTTGCCGGAGTCCAGATTTCGAAAAGAGTCATATTTGTGGATTTCAATCTGAAGCTTTGTACACGTGAACCTATTTCTTGGCAATGCAATATCCAAAACTGATAAAACTTTATACATAAGATAGTCTAATCGAGACCTTCATGTATGCAAAGTTTCAAGCTGGAATTCTCAAATATGACTCTTTACAAAACTGGACTCCGGTAAGAGGAATCTACTAATAATTCGCTATCTTAACAAAATCTACACATACGCAAGAATTCTTTGGATGTTACGCTACTCTATGATAATCTCCAATATATAGGGACAAACGAAGTGGATCACTTGTGAATGTTTCCTTGTTAGTTGGTAAAATGGAATCGCATATTAAAGATATATGAAAAAAGTTTTTGGAAAGAACTTTTGAAACACACTGTATTTACCATATTCATATATAAATGTTGAATAAATTCTACATCAATCCAATTTTGATTATTTCTATTAACTTTCCAAATAGTCATTGGATATTCTGGATTAATAATCATTACATTTCTCTTATATTGATTTTTAAATTCTTAAAACAAATAAATTCTTTCATTCAAATATATATATATATATATAAATCTATAAAAAATAACGTTACTTATTATAATTAGTGATAAAATTTCAAATATAAGTATAAAAGCAAAAATAATCATACATATCATTAGATTAACAATTCTCATTTGTACAATAATTACAATTGTTATAAAAAAAACAATAAAATTCGTCATAATAAATCCATTAGATGTAAATCTATTTAAAAACCATAATATAATCATAATAAATGAAATAAACATAAGAATTAATCTAAACAATTGATAAATATAATTTAATTTAAAATTTTTATTCATAAATTTTCGATAAAATTTATTAATTAATAAATAAGAAAAATTTTCAAAACATAAATAAATAATAAATGAAGAAAATATCATAAAACTAAATAAATATACATATCCTATTATAAATGTATAATATCGATCAATACTATATAATAAAATAAAAGAAATTAATAATAATAAACCAATAATTAATCCATATTTAAATTTATTTGTTTTTGATGAATGATTATTATAATGATTAAGAATTTTTTTCATAAAAATTCTACAATGCCATTCATTACCAATTAACATGCAGGTAATAATAATAGTAATAAAAATAAAAAAACATAGATCAAATTGAATATGATCTCGATTAATACGATATAATAAAAAATTTGTTTGATTCGAAAGAAAATTATTCAAATGTTTAACTTCGTTTAAATCAATAAAACCAATATTAGTTTGATTTAAATTATAATCATTTAGATCTCTATATAATGGAAATTCAAATGACCAAGAATATTTTGAATAATTTAATATTGAAATAGAAGATTTTATTTGATTATCAATATATGATAATAATGTATGTTCAAATGTTTTACTATCACGATTGACTTTTGAAAAAAAAAAAGAAAACAACAGAAATAAAAATGAAAAATTTAAGATTTATTTACTTGAAAAAATAATAGCAAAATAATTTTGTGTCCAATTAAGATTTTTTAAAATTGTTAACTGTTGAATCAAGGAACAATCATTTGATAGTTGAATAATTAATATTTCTTTTGTATTATTTAATTGATTATGAGAGATTTTTTCGCTTGTATCATTAAAATGACAAAGAGATAAATCAAGAACAATATTAAAATTCACTTTTAATGCATTTATTTTTGATGGTATCATTGATCCATATAAATAAACACAAATTGTGTCTGATTTATTGTTATATTCAATTTGACTTATGGAATTTTTCACTGGTGAAACATAGATTATAAGACATAGAATGAAAAAGAAATTCATAATTGATTGATTATAGAAAAACTTTTCAAATGAATCATCAATCTCATTTAATGAACTTTTTATCTTCAGAGTATAGTTAAATAGATATCGTACTAACATACAATTGAATTTCATTACAAAATGTTTTTCATTTTTATAGAGTTATTTTTTGTTTATCTATACATTTCTTGATATTATAGTGAATACTATTGTATTTCTTTTTATAAAAATATATCAAAACAAATGTTTATAAACCGACTATTAAAGATAAGAATAATTCAAGAAATCGGAGTAAACGAATGGACTTAAATATCTTCTGACACAATATTATGAAAAAGTTTGATTTTTCATTTGGATTGTCTCTTGCGTTATTCTAATATTTATCTCGTTTAATTATGAATGCGATCATTAATTGAAAACATTAAAGAAACTTTATTTCGAACAAAAACATACTGAACATTTGTATTTTAGTCAAAGATAAAGTAAATAATGAAGTGACAATAAAAAAAGAACAGAATATGTATTTAAGTATTTGTCTTTTTTTTTCTATAGAATATTATTAATATAAATGAACTATTAATTACAAAAGCAAATTGAAAAAGAAAACATTTCATTTTTAGTTATCATCCAATGTATTCAAATTCGAACTGTCACTATCTATATTGGATTCCTCCTGTTCTTCAAAAGAACGTTTATGTGACACGGATGATGATGATGATGCTGTTGAATGAAGACGTATATGTTTATTGAGATTTGATGGATCACTAAATGGTCGAAAACAAACTCGACATTGCAATGGTTTATATCCTGTATGTGTACGAAGATGAATTTTTAAACCATATTTACGATTATAAATCTAAAATAATAAAAAAATAAAAAAATAAAAAAATAATTATGAATATGAATTTACTTTGCCACAAAAAAGACATAAATGAGCTTTACGTTGTCTCCCATCATTATCCAATGAAGTAAATTCTAATGCATGTGTACCATCAAGTACACTCATTTTGTAAGATGATACATCATTTGATGAAAATGTTATTGGTTGTTGTGGTTCATCATTTTTTTCTTTAATTTTCTCGTCTTTTTGTCTATCGTTAATCATAGAAACTTGACGAGAAGATGATGAAGATTTTTTTGTTGATGAAAAATCCATTGAACATTTTTTTATTGGACTTGTATGAACTAATAAACGTTCATTAAGATTAATATTAATTGATGATGTTGGATCACGACATTGATCAAGAAGAACATGTGCAACTAAGACATTTAAATAATTTTGTTCAATTTTACATCGAGGACATCGTGTAGCTATGAGAAGCAAAAATTTTTGTTCTTTTTTCTAATAAACAAAAAAATAAAGAGATTTTAATCTTACATTTAAGAAGTTCTTCAACTTTAAATATTTTTGCTAATTTAATTTTTTCACATATTGTACGTAATTGTGGAAGACTAAACCAAGCAAGAAGTGGTTCATCGGGAACAACTAAACGTGTAGTACGAAAACCAAATAAATTTGTTTCAGATGGTTGAAATAATTCAATATTTTGTTCGTCTGGTGTACGAGCACTTTTTATTGCTAATACCCATTCTTGAAAAAGTCCTGGTCCAATTAAATGTTGATTCCAACAATGAATCTATAAATATATAGAATATTATATGATATAGTCTTTTATGTCCTTAACATATCGAGAGATAATTCAATTTTTACAATGAAATAGTTATTCTACTCAAAAAAATTGTTAAGTATTGTTTCAACTAGGAAATCCACTGCTTGATTAGCAGACACGATCATGTTTCGTGATAACCCATGATTAATTATATCATATAAGTAATCAAATTTTATTAGTAAGAAACCTTTTCATACAACTTATTTAGCGAACTTTAGCGTTTTTTTTGTTGTTGTTGTTCTATGCTATCATACGGTTTTTTTTATAAAATAGGAAAGAACAACGACTCCAAATACAAATATTATCTGATACTTCAATGGAAATGTTCTTACGATGGAACTACTCGAACTGATACCCGCCGTTTGAACTAATATTGAGCCTACAATGATGTCTTGATGAGACTAGAAAAAACCTTGAAAATTTCGTCCTCTTGAACTTTTGGAATTGAGTTATGATCATTTTATTGAATTTTTAACCTCGCTTTAAGTATATAGTGAAAAATCAAAAACCAGAAATTCGATGCGACATTTTGCTCATAGATAGATCGAATGATTCGAAAAATATCCTGAAAATTTCAATCCAAAAGAATGTTTCTTTGGCGAGATATTAAATTTCCAAAAAAAAAAAGATTCGTTTACAATTAGAATATTCAAAGCGTCATTAGACTCATCTATGAACAAAATTTCAGGTGAAAATTCAATAAAATGATTATAACTCGGCTGCCGATACCCCTTATAGATCCAATATGAGCTTGAACAACAGATATCAATATCGATGGTTTCCTCGTTAGTTTGGATTGTTTCGATTATAAAGATTTGAAACGATCGAAAACAAATTTTAACATCGAATGAAAATCGACACTTTCGAAGCATATATACTTTCATTTTATAAAAATTTTGACAACATAAAAATAGAACAATATAAAAGTCTTAAATTCAATATTCTTATACTTACAGGAATTTTATTATAATGTTGATTATGATCATAAAAATCCGTTAAAAGAAAATTATATGGTAATTGATGAAGAAGATAAACTAATGAACCTTCTTTTAATGTTGTAGCAGCAACAGCTAAAGGTTTTATTGTTGTTGTTAGTGGAAAACTTCCATTAACATTTGCATATGTAGCTATTGGTTTAATTATTTTTATATTCGACATTTGTTGTTTTAATTCAACAGAAGAAAATATCGAATGAAATGATGATATATGGTACGACCAATTGCATATAGGTATGTGACATGTATTGACAGGTGATAGAACTGATTTTTTTTCGTTTTATTCTTTCTCTCTCTCTCTCTCTCTTGAAATTATGTACCAATCGGAGACGAGAGAAATCAAATAAAAAAAAGAACGAAGTTACCATTGGGGAAAAAGGTATTTCGATGGTGTCAATCATCAAGTATGTATGCAAAGATACTATTTGTTCAGTACAACATTACTAATAAAACAATGAATAGAAAATGACAAAAAAAAGAAAGAAAGAAAGAAAAGAAAAGAAAAGAGAAACGTATAGAGAAGTCATGAAACTGTTCTGCTTATGTCTTATGACACCACTTAACTTGTTACCATAGAAATTCATCTATTGACGAGTCAAATTTCATTCAAGTGGAAGAAATACCTTCAATCATCATCATCTGCCTTCTCTCCTTCTTATTCTACTCTGTTGTTGTTTGATTGTTCCTGTCTAATGACCAAAGACAATTTAATTGGCATTGAATACATATATGTCGTTTATCGTTTTCACACCTCTCTAAACTCATAATTATCTTGTAAAGGAAGAATAAGACATAAAATTCTATCATTCGATTCAATACACTGAAATGATAAGCTGAAAATATGTTTAAAACTAAAGAAAAAAAAAAGACCGCAACAAAACGACAGCCGATGTTTTTCTCATCATTGATTTAGATGCTAATTATTATAGACACGTGTTGCTTGCTGTTCCGAAGTATAGATTTTTTTTTCCTCTTTTTTATTTTGACATCCAATCCAATGATGAGCATACTCTTGGGTCTTCACTCTATTGTTCATTCACCTCACTTGAACAGGCTTAGATGACAAACAAACAGCACGTGTGCATTCTTTCTCTTTACTTAATGTGTTCGATTAGCGCACTTTTTTTTTTGAAATGTACAAAAAGTGTTTTTGCTGCCTCTCTTCTACCAACGTATGTATGATGAGCGACTCTTTTTATTTTTCTTCTATAAGTGGGGATCAACATGGACGATTGTTTTGATCTTGTACTCATCTTGCTACTATTTATTGATAGAAGAATAATGAAATTGACATAACAGATTAAAGTGAAGAATGTTTCCAACTGTTTTATTAGGTTTTAAATTTTTTAAGATCGTTGTCATCATAATTATTGGTAATATTGATTAAAAATTTTCTTTTAATAGAGAATAGTTTGATTATTAGAAGTGTTAAAAAAATGAATATACTTGAATTCTATATTGAATTCATAGAAGATTAGTTTTATGGTCTATTGAACATTGGAAATATATACGCTTATCAGATTGACTCGAAACATCATCGAAATCGACAATGTCACATCTGGATATATGTCGTTAGTACTTATCAAAACATCGTATCATTTGCAATTTTAGAATAATTGAGAAGTTAAAAATTACATATTTGGTTGCATGCAACATATATATGTCTTCTCAATATTAGAAAAAAAAAAGAATAAAGTAAAATCTTCCTTAATAGAATGTTCTTCTAAAATAAATATTGAACTAATTGTTTTAATATGACATCGAACAACTATCTTATATTTGAGTCGATAAAATATTAGATCTTACTTTTAGACTTGGAAGTCAGAAGTTAAACATCTATATTAGATCTAATGACCTTATACTTCATAAATAAGTTTTAAGGACAAAAGATAACATTCAAAATAAATCGAAAAAAAATGTTTGACTTGGCAGACCTCTACCAGAAGTGACTCTATATTTGTTTTTTTCATTTAATTAAATAGTTCAAATCCTTACTATTAATATTAACTTAACTTTCGACTTTCGAAATTCACAGATCAAGGATAACATCATAAAAATTTTTTTTATATCGAAAATCCTATTATCAATATATATATATATTTTCTTTTCATGAATATCAATAGTTGACATACAGAATGTGTATAAAAAAATAAATACAGTCATCGGAAAAAAATAATAACAAATACACAATTTTAAGAAATCGAAAACAAGTTTTTCTTTTTTTTTAATAGCAAAATTATATATTTTTTACAAATCGAAAGGATAGAAAATAAAATAAAAATCTCATAAATAACATAAGCCAAGATGACATGCTTCGCACAATATTGAATTATGTTGTGTATGCATATTTCCTTTTCGTTGAAATAAACGTCGAACTGGTTGAGTACCATTATGTGTTATATCCCAATAAATAGATGATAATGAATTGGGAAAAAAATATTTAAAAATTGTCAATGCTAAATTTTTCATTACTCGACAAATTTCATCTAACGAAAAAAAAACAACAATTTAAAAAAAATAATATATATATGTTCAAAATTTACCGAAATACCACAATGGATGAACAATTGAATAACAATATTGACATTGTTGTGTATAAAGTCTTAATAGAACAATACCGCCTTCATTGGGTTTCGATATATAAAATGAACAACGTGCACGCATTGATGTCCAACAATGTCCACAAATATCACATTTAAATTGTGCTTTTGCATTTTCTAATCGCATCATTGAATAAGATGCATTCAATGCACGAGGACATGTTAAACGTGCATCATAAAGCATAAGACGATAGTCAATATTATATGTCATAGCAGTGGCCATAATTAATCGACCAAATTCGCCATGCCAAGCCCAAGCGGTATTTTCACAAAAATATTTTTTATCATCATCACGTATTACTGCTGCCCTATGAGCTAGAAAAACAAATAGAGAATTTTTGATTCTTATTTTAAAAAAAAAAGAACTCGATTTTGGATACCATCATCAGTAATTGTTATTGTTGGTGGATCATTTGGATAAAAACATTCGGAATTACATTCATTCGAAAAGAAACTTTCGCGATCATCATCATCATCATCATCACTGTTATCATAACTGATACCAGAATCATTTGATGTAAAACGAGACATACTATCTGAGTAATCATTTTTATTATTGTTATTGTCATCAACAATATGAAATTGTTTGTTTTTCTTCGAGATTGATATTGAAGAAAGTGGATATGTTTGAAATTGTTGCATCTCAAATGCAAAAATCGTTAATAGAATATATGTCTATGTATGTATGTATGTATGTGCGAAGACAAAAAAGATAGGAATGATCTGTATTTGTATCGTAGACAACGAGACATATTTTTCTTTTTTCGTTCGTTATTTTAAATATTGAAGTCTCGTGGATTAAATCAATTACATTTAACGAATCGAAGATCGATAAAAGAAAAATGTGTGAATTTTCGTTATTTTGTAATAGTGAAAATCAGTTTGAAATTTATTGAATTTTGTTCTAATGCAACGTGTTTTGTAAAATATTGAGAATTTTTTTTCTTAGCGATGTATGGGATAAATAATAAGAATGATTGTGAATAAGTCTTAAGTTTTATTATGATTACATGAAATTGAACACTTTAATTTCTTGACTTCTGCATTCTAATGGAATAGTGATATGCACAGAGACGGAAGTATCGATTCTCTGTCAATTTGTCTCTGAAAAAAATTTCTAGTCACATTAATTAAATGACAAGAATTTCAAGCTACATTTTTCTTACTTTAATTTATTTTTCTGCTAAATGCATGTGCAATGTTACTACTTTAATTAAACTGTTTGTGTGATTTTTTTCAGTATATCATATAGAAATATTTATTATTATGACAAAATCTTGCAAAAGAATAGTATATTTGAAAAACAAAGTCATTTATTTATTTATTTTCCATTTTGACCAGAACGTATTCTTCTTCCATTATTATAATCATATGCAGCTAATGCTAAAAAATAGATAACATCAGGTAATTCATTTGTATATACTTGTAAATCATATTTATTTGGTAAAATAATTGATGATAATCTTAATCTCATTCGAGCAAGAATATAATTTGGTGGTTGTTCATTTCGAATTTCAGTTGTTAATGAAAATATATTATGTTCCATAATTAAATGTCGATTTGCATATTGAATAATATATCGAAAAGAATAATTAGGAAAAGCTTGAGTAATTCTTCCAGGAATCCATTGATTGAAAATAGTGTCAAATACTTGAATTTCAGCATCATATACTAATAAAAAGAAATTATTATTATTTAATTTTTGAAATCAATATCTTACACCATGGAGACCAGTTATTTCTAATAGAAGCAACCATTTGTTTTCCTGGATAAGCATAAAGTTGTGCTGTTTGAGTAAAACCATAACGTGATTCAAATCGAAAAAGTAAAATGTTACCGTATTGATCATAAATTGAATATTCGCCAGCTTTAAAACCACCGAAAAAATCTTTTTTAATTGTATATTGACGAAGTATTTGTTGAGTTTGAATTCTTGTATACAAAAGACAAATCAATACAAGAATAAATGAGTTGGTTGACATTTTTCAGAGCACAAACAATCAAATGACATAGTCATATCTGACTGATAGGAATACATAATATAAACAAACATATATCCAATAGATAGTTTCTGTTCGTAATTGAATCTGTTGACTTATCCTTTCTTTTGATCAATTACGTTTGCAATAAAGGAAACAAAAATAAAATCTCATAGAGTACAACCAAGGATTATCACTGTTTATATGTTTTTTGAAACGAGATCAATAATAATTCATAAGAATTTTGAAAATTTGCAATAGTCTAACGAAGGCTGCTTCCAGATGTCAATTCACTTACTAGTCAAGGCTATGTGCATCTATTTAATTATTACAGCATGTTTTTAGAACAACACCATAGTTCTGTCAGGTTTTCTTGAATAAAAATCACTTCCGACTTGAAGATTTGCACATAAAAAAGTCTCAACGAAGTTAGTTTATTTGAAAGATTTCAAATTTTTTAATTTCTTTCTATTCTAAAATATGTAAACCAAGCATTTCATGCTGTAATTGATATAAAAATAAGGAACTCAGGAATTTGAAATCTTTTAAATAAGTTAACCTTACTGAGATATTTCTCTATACAAAGCTTCAAATCGAAAGTCAATTTTCTAAGTGATCCTGCAGATAATCATGACGTTATGCTAATAGCAATGCCATAATAATCAAATATCTCGGCAGAAGTAAGTTTTCAGGATATTGAGAATTCATTAGAACAGTATTTGAAGATTAAATTTATTTATGAAAGTAATGTATCAGATGTTGAACTATTTCATTGGCAATACACTCTCTAAATGTATATTGCTCTGTATGTATTCTCTTTAATTCGTCTTCTTTATCGTCATTTATTTCTAAACATCGACCATATGCGTATATTTTCAATGTCATCGACTAGTTAAATATTGACTAATATGTTGCAGAAAAGTACATGAGAATTGAATAGATTCGATAATATGTATTCCGAATGCTAAGTGACCTCATATGAGACTCATAAATAAGTCTCAGTAAGATTAGGAAAAATCTAAAGGGCTTCGCGCCTACAGACCGTTGAAGCCAAGTTATAGCGGTTTTACTGAATTTTCGACCTGAAATTTTATTTATAGATAAATATGACAACCCTTAGAATATTCTGGAAGTTTCATTCAAAGAGAATGTTCCTTTGTTGATATATTGAATTTCCAAAAACTAAGATGTTTGCCACAGATATCTCACTAAAATCGAGTTCACTTGAAAATTCAGTATCTCAACAAAGGAACATTCTTTTCCGATGAAATTTTCAGAATATTCTACGCGTGGTTACATCTATCAACGAGTAAAATTACAGGTCGGGAATTCAGTAAAACAGCCATAACTTGGCTTCAAAGGTCTATGGACACGTGGAGTAGTTGCTTCGTAAGTTGAGCGAAAAATAAATTCATTATATTTAGAAATTTTTTGCAACATCTTTTTCTTATCTGATATTCTCTTTTAAAATTATCCACATACGTTCTTTTCTTTCATAACTATTTTTTATTTTAATATTACCATAATCATTTTCGATGATGACGATAAAACTGAACACAAGTGAAGAGAAAGTTTATGTTTGTACATCAAATCATATATATTCATTAATTTGAAATTTGTTTTTTCCATATTTAATTTATTGTATTCTTTGTTTTAACAAATAGCAAAAAAAATGAATCTATTCTATCTCATCACTACATATGTAACTTATATAGAAAGACAGTGAAAATAAGTCTAAAAACCAATAATGCCTAGGAAACAACTAAAAGTATTCGAATAAATTAATCATTTTTTTTAAATATATTTTAATTCTTATTTAATCAAGTAAGAAACTTCTGTAAATCACATATGCATCTTGAAAAAAAACCGATCAATCAATCACATTAAAGTCTACTTTTGAGTAAGTGAAATTCCTTCTTTATCTAAATAATTCATAAGACTTGTACGTCCAAATGCTACTGCTGGCGTAAAAACACCACCTCTAGAAAAATCAAAAATTAAAATTAAAAAAAAAAATCAGTAAATTAGTTTTCTTACTTAAATGGTAAACGATCATTTTCTTTAAGTAACATAATTGCACAGCCAATTGTCAATATTGATGTTGTAATATATCCTGGATCAGGTCCTGTTAATTCATGAATTAATTTTTGATCATTTTCTGCATGAGTTATAAATGTCATTTTAAATGAAGCTTGTTCACACTAAACACAAATTTAAAAAAAAAAAATTCTTTTTCTTTTTTTATTCTTGATTTACATCTGCTCGTGCTGCTCCTTCTCTTGTAACTAGTCCAGCAGAAAATAAACGTGGAAACTAAAAACAAAGACCAATGTAGAAATGTTATGAATATATCGTTATAGATTATACTTTAAGTAAACATTGAATACCAAGTTTAAATTTAGTAAATAATGAAAAAAGACAACCGAAAAAAACAAGTTTAACAGCCGACATAAATGAAGGCATTTGAAAATAAGGTTGAAAATGAATCTAAAAACAAAAATTTTCTTATTTATTTCAATATTTATTTGAAATTTCTTACTGGTTTTTTATTTAATTTTGTATAATTAAAATATTGTGTACGTTGTACAACTGATTTATCACTACCAGGAAATGGTACAGCCCAATATGATTTTCCACGAATTGTTGTTTTCCTAAGCGATTTTCTAAATAAAAAAAAATATAAATAAATAAATTAAATTAGAATTTTCATAGAAATAAATACTTTTCTATTTTATAATTTGGATATGGCAATTTTTGTTGAAATAATTTTCGTCGAAGAGGTTTTAATTCATTTGCATGAGATATACCATAAACAGCTGATTCCCATGTTGCATAATGCATTAAACCACGCTGACAAAGGAAAAAAAAATATATATGTACTTTTCTAACCAATTTTCTTTTTTATTTACTGTTGATTTTGGAAAGTTTAGTGTTATATAACTTTCAATTAATGCAATCTCTTAAATAAAAATAATTTATTTTTTGTTATTAATACAAAATATTTAATCAATAGTATACCAAGATTATTTTGTTCACATTGTTGTCGAATTGTTTCAGCACCAAGATCAGCAATAAGTGAATCAAATCCACAACTACCAACAATAGCTATTTCACGTTCTTGAGCTTGACTATCATATCTAAGTTGTATTGTTTCAAGAAACTAAAACAAATAAATATAATATTTCATTATTTTTATTCGTTTTTTTTTCTTGTTACTTGTGGTTCACCACATATATCAATATAATGTGTATGTGATTGAATACAAGCTTCTACTACAGGTTCACCATAAAGACGATACTAATAAAAATTATTTAATTAATATTGATTAAAAAAAGAAAGAAAACTATTGTTTACATACAGGTCCAACACAATTAATTAAAACTTTTGTATGAGCACACATATCAATTAATGATTGGCTATTCGTAACGTTTGCAACAATTGTATCAACATTTGAAGTTAAATTTTCAATACCTATAGATTATTAAGATTAGATTTACATCGGTCTCTTAATTAAGTATAATCTTTGCTGCTTATAAGGAAACCTTCCCAACTTAAATATCGTTTTTGAGTTCTGACTCTCTAATGAGATATTAAAAATCTCGATATGATAAGGACCCCTAGGTCTTCCCTATAAAGTCATAGCCATTGTCCTGAAATTTCAGCCTATAGCATGATATACACAAAAGAATTGAATAATGATATTTTGCCCATGGATAGGTCTACTTGTAACTAGACTATTCTGAGAATTCCAGCTCAAACGAGTATTCTCTTCATGAGATATTGAATTTTCAAAAACAAAATTCGAGAATCTCATGTTTTTTAAGAATTTAATATTTTGTGCAGAGAACACTCTTTTGACCTGAAATTTTCAGAACATTTTAGTTACAAGTAGATCTATCCATGGGCAAAATAGCATCTTTAGATTCTTTTGTATATACTGCACTATAGGCTAAAATTTTAGTAAAACAGCTATAACTTTATAGAGAAGGCTTAGGCATTCTTAACCTTTTTCAAGTTTTTAATATCTCATTGGGCTCTACGTTATGAACAGAGTCCGAACTTAAAAAGTGATTTCCAATTTGAAAAGATTCTCTTGTTAGTTTAAATACCTGTAACATTTGAAGCTTCTTGGAGAACTTGTTTTAATTTGCTAGCTGTTCGCCCAGCTATACCCCATTTAAAACCAAACTGATTTGCTTTTCTTGCCATTTCTTCGATAACATATTGACCAGTATAGCCAGTCGCGCCAAAAATAAGAATATCAAGTCGTTTAGACATTAATATATAACTACTATTACAAAATCTAGAATAAAATATTATTTCTAACAACAAATTTCTTATAATAATCATGAGTTTTTCTTCTTTAAATTTAATCTAACTTTTAATCAATACAAAAAATAACACAAAGAATACAGTTTAAATGTTTTTATTTTCAATATTATTCATTTGAAATCAAGTAATTCATTGTCAACATTTTGAAAATATCTACATGCAATTTTAGATTACATAAATTAATTTATTACTATTAGCATAATCAGATGAACATCTAAGAGTAGCGCATTCACTATTTAACATTTGAACTATATCTTGATCCTATCTCCCTAAAGATATATATATCGTATTTTTTACGTTAATTATTTGTTTGATCATTCTATCTTAGTAGCTTGTCTATAAAACAAAATAATAATGATATATAAAATATTCGTCTTTTACCAAATCTAAATTCAAATGATTCATATCAATCATAAAGCGAATCAATTTTTTTTCATTAGTTAATATAATTTATGCCAAACAACATTCTTATTTGAAAGCCACTTCAATCTTCTACCTGTATAGTGAACAAAAATATGTTGACCCGATTTTGATTTTTGATCTAACATTTCAAACCAAATAACAATCAATTTAACCCAAACAAACAAAATTTAACACCAAACATTTCCTTCTTTAATTATTTCAACTTTAAATCCTGATGACATCGTTGTAATTTTTTTTTCTTATTATAAACTGATAGTCTACAAAAAAAAACCAAATCCGTCTATATCTTTTATTTATATATGTATTTACACAGTGCAGAAAAAAGAAATGAGGAAAAATAATAATAATAACCAAGTTTAGATGCTAAAACACCAGTAACAACAACAGACATGTCTTTTTTTCTTTCTTGACCAGTTTGAATATTTACATGAAAAAAAGAAAAGAAAAGAAAAGAAACGTGACATACAATAATGAGATAAATTTTAGGTGGCATAAAGAACCGGTTTTTTTATTTTATTTTGTTTTTATTTTAGTTGCGAGTTGTTTATCATAATAATCCAAAGTATAAATATGAACACAGAGAGAGAGAGAGCTAAAACAAAAGTATATTATTGTTCGTTCTCATGAAACACTCGTAATCGATTGTGTTGGACCACGCATTGTAGAAAGTACCGTATCAAGCCATTTCAATGGACCTTCTAAATGAATTTCTACCCAACATGGAGTACATGTTACTGCTTGACGTCTATTATTTAAATAAATATAGAATATTTCTTATTTTGTAATAATATAAACAAATAAACTTTCTTACCTATATTCAACACCCCATCCTTTAACAAAACTCATTCGAATGATACACATTCTCATGAGATTATAAACAGCTTCATAACTTTCATGAACAGCACTACTAAGTATTTGTGTAAAATCATCACTATCGAAAATTTTCAGTCGAACTTCTAACAAACGAAAAAAAAATAACAACATATTATTTTCTTTTTCTAACAAAATGAAGAAAAAAAAATTCTTTTTTATTTTATTTTTTACTTGGTGGAATTTTACAAACAGTTGCTGGATGCCATGATAATCTTCGATTTGTTATTGGACTTTGAACAAAAACAGCATTATCTGATATACATTCAGCAAAAACATTTCCACGTATATGAAATAATTTAACACCACGTCCAATATGACGACGTGCTTTATCTATTTCAAATGTTCTATGAACATTTGTTAAACCACCCAAACAAAAACGTTCAGCATTCGATGGATCAGTAAAACCATCAATGATAACTTGTGGTTGTGTTGCATGAAATTGTTCACCAACACGTGTTGACATTTCATAATATGATATAAGACACCATTCATGAGGTTCTTCAAATGGTACTTGTTCACCATTTGTTATGGAATATTGAGATGGATGAGGGGATATTGTTGATATTGATTGTTGCTGTTGTTGTAGCTGTTGCTGTAGCTGTTGCTGTTGCTGTTGTTGTTGTTGTTGGGAATAGATAGAATTTGTTTCGGTTGATACAGGTGGAACAAGTTCAATCTCCATTCGAGTGTCATGAGAATTTTGATTATTTTCATCATTATGAGTTGTACCAGGAGGTGAAAGAAGAGAATCTGAATTAATAAAAAAAAAAATGATTTTTATACTTTGTTTTTTGATGAAATGAAATATTGATTTGAGTATATCGTATTAGCTTTGCATAATATTCGTTTATATTTTTTCAAAACTAACTATTACACGACAGCAGTTATTTTGCTAATGTCTTAAACTTATTCAGAAGTTCTTATAGTTATGTTGAAACAAACTCTTTCTTTGATCAGACAAGGGAACGTTCCTATCTATTAAATGTGCATTTTGATTGACACTATTGTTATTCGATCGATGTTAATGTGTAGTGGAAAAGTTTGTTTTTCCAATATTCGCTTGTTGAGTTATGGACGTTTTACTCGATTTTTATCCTATGAGCATAGAATCGATGAAATCTGAATAGTCAAATTTCGAATTGAAATTTTCTCTATAAATAGGCTTTATGATCATTAGAAACTTCGCAAAATTTGAGCCGGAACGATTGTATCCTTGTCAAGATATTTACATTTTAAAGGAAGATCTATTTTGAACTGTGTTTGAAACGAAAGATATTTTCATGACAATTTAATATCTTGATAAAGATACGTTTGTCCTAGTTCAAACTTTGAAGAGTTTCTATCAACTACGAGACTTATCTGTGAAAAACATATCACCTTGAACTTTCATCATCGAGGTTCTTACCGATCTTATGTTTATTCGGCAAAAATTGATTAACATGTTTATAACCCAACAAGTGAATACCTTGAAACTAAACTAAAACAGATTTTTGGACTATTTATCAAGACTGATCGAATGGTAATAGTTTCAAACGAAAATTGATGTGACAATTAGAAACGTTCTCTCATAGGTAGAAAACTAAAGATAATTTTCCGGAAATATCAATCAGTTCACGATACATTACAGCTAGAGGCCATCGGAACCGACTCGAAGAACTCTAGTTACGATCATGCTGAATTCCAATTTTCTTCGCATATCCTTCTCTAGAAAGCAAGCATTAGTTAGGTATAGGTAATACCATAGTTTAGAGAGAAGGGCAACTCCACTCCTATTTTCTAAAATCCGACTCCAACTCGAATAAGAAAAAGCGTCAACTTCGGAGTTAACTTCAATGCTGAGTTGGAGTTGCCTATCTCTGCCATGTTTTAATCACCTATGCGATATTCTTCCAAGTAACCAGACAATATCTTAATATCGCTTATAAAATAATTATCTATAATGAAAAGAAAAACAAGAAATTCTCTATCGAATGATTTTTAAATTATATTTATTTAATTCAATAATAAAATTATGGTTTTTTTTTCTCTATTTTACCTTGTGAACTGATACTTCCAGGTGATAATTGATATGATGATGGTGATTGTTGTTGGTCAATAGTTGTTTGATATGTTGTATTTTCTGGTATTTGATTTGGTAAAATATCATTTGTTGAAGCTGAACGTAAATCAGGCATATCACGAAATGCTTCCGGTGGTAAATGTGGAACATAAACAGAATATTTAACTTGAAACAAAGAAAAAAAAGATAAACAATCGGTATAATACATGAAGAATATTTGATAATTACCTGGTACACGTTCATAATGAAATGGATTAATACAAATATCATCTCGAGAATAATGAAATGCATTTGGACAATAATCAACTGGTTTAAGTTCATTTTGATTTGATAAATCTGGCCAACGCCATAGACGACAATAGATAACAACAGAATTAGATTTCGATGATTGATTCGGTGGAACATCAAGTGATCTAAATAAAATATCTTGATTTTATTTTATCTAACAAAACTGTTAGTACAATCTCTGCCGGATTAAAATGTCAAACACAATGTAGCTGCTGTTGCTAATCAGAGGAAGACTGCTTTATTCGATCTATTTTAGAACACATTTCTTCATCATCCTCTCCAGACATGCACTAAGTAACGGGTGGCTCATAAAGAATGAAAGTTTCTATATTTTCTCTAGCTTTTATAGATTTGGATTGAACTTTTTGATAAGATCCAGCGTTTAATTTTCAACAAAATTATACACAAATAGGTATCATAGAGATAGAAGTTCTTGTAATAATATTGCGAACATGCAACATTAACAATTTCCAAGCACAAAATACAGTTCTCTAGTATTTATGTGTTCTCACGTCGAGCTATATATTATTACTATGTTCAAGATTTTTAATAACGAAATCTTATTACATAAAATAAGTGTTACTATTTTTTTCAAATTAAAAAAAACACAGTTGTTTTATTTGAAATAAATAACACTTATTTAGCCTTTATTTTATACAATAATGTTTCGTTATAAAAACTTTTAAACATAGTAATAAGACATAGCTTTTGAAGTTCTACAAAATCGATAGTACAATTTGTCTATATAGTTCCACATGAAAATATATAAATACAGGACAACTGTATTTTGTGTTTCAAAGTTGTTGATATTGCATGTTCATAATATTACTACAATAACTTTTTTTTTTACTTTTATCCCTGTGACACCCGTTTGTATATGGATTTGTAGAGAATTAATGGCGAATCTTTTGAAAAAAGGTCAATTCAAGTCTATGAAAACTAGAGAAGTTGTTGATACATGGTTTGTGAATGGGAGGTTCAAATTTCTACCGCATATATTTTAACACTTCTTTTAAATCGTATTTTACAAGATTAGAAATTAAAATTTCACCTTGGTATTGTTACACATTTTGTTCTTGAATCTTTATGTAAAATAGCTTTTTCAAGTTCATCAACTGAACCATTTTTTTTTTAATTTTGTTAATTTTTTTACTAAATTTCTTATTATTTTTTCTGTATGTTCATTTATATTTGATGATGGTAAAGAATTTATATCATTTTGTTTATTTTGATTAACACATAAATTAACAAAACGTTGAACAATTGGTGATATTGAACGTTTTTTAGTTATTGAATGTAAAAGTGTTGTTAGAGGATTTGATGATGGTGATGAATTATTATTCATCGTTGTTGTTGTTGTTGTTGTTGTTGTTGGAGAAGCAATTGACATTATTATTAATCTAGAAGAAATAAATCTTTTTTTTTTTCTTTTCGTCTTCTGTCGTATATATATGTACAATACATTTTGCTAATTTTTTTTTATAAAAAAAACAAAAAAAAAAGAAAAAAACAAAACCTCGGATACAAATATACAAAAAATATACATTCTTTCACCTAGATGTTGGACACCAATGCTTCATTCCTTCGAAATCATATAAACTATCATGAGATAATACAAATTCATTTGTACGATTAAATTTATTTTGTTTTAATTTCTTTTTTCCATCAGATGGATTAATATGTAACTCTTTTTCCATAGTTAATATTAAAAATTGCGACCATTGTTGTTGAACTGACTGCATTTCATTAAATAGAATTGAATCAAGTACGTAATCATCATCAAGTGATTCACTAAAAAAAAAAAGTAGAAAGTCATAATTTTTCTTTTTTCAATTGATATAAACTTACGTATTGGAAATAATAGTTGATGCTATTTTCTTTTTCTTTTTCTTTTTTATTGGTTCTTCTTTAGGACAAAGTAATAAACCTTGTGAAAGTATTGGAAGAATTTCTTTTTCAGTTGATATTATATCTGATTTTGGATTTTCCGATGATGATTTTTTTACCATTGGAATATCTAAAAATAAAAACAAAAAAAAAAGCATTTTTTTTTCCTTAAAAAAACAAAAACATATAAGTCTAGACAAAAGAATAGAAAAATCTATGCATTATTTACTTCATATTATTGTCATCTTTATGAAAGAGAATAAGGAATTTTTTATTTATATTTATAATATTTTACAATAAAGAATTCTACACAAGCATATTATTAACTATTCCCAGAAAATAGATTGTCCTTAAGTGACAATTAATTTTAGTCGATTGCATAATAATAAGACATCTTTTACTGTTAATTTAATTCTGTACTGTAATTAACAAGACAAGAACTTCTCTATATCAAATGAAAAAGTTTTTTTTTCTATAAAATATTCATCATTCGATCTATTTTTATACCTCTTATTTAATGAATTATATGCATGACTGTGCAATGTTTTTCTTTTATACAAGAAACCTTTTAAAAGTACAAAAAAAAAAGAAGCTCGCAAAATATTATTAAGTAGATTTCAGTCAAGGACGAAAATATCTTTGCTTTTTTTTTCTTCTCTCAATTTGAAATAATGATTAATAATACTAACTTTTTATTATTGTTGTAATAGATTGTTTTTGTATTCGTTCGTTTGAATTTGACCGAAGTTTAATTGCTGATAATTGTTGTTTAGATCGTTTTTCTTCGATTGTTATTAAATTTGTTTTTTGACCATCAAGTTCTTCGTCAAGTAAATTTTTTTCACATTTAAAATTTTCATCTATTGAAATATTTGAATTTGCTAGAAATAAAGAAAAGAATATGAGTTTTCTTTTTTTTTTTTGTAAGGAATAAAAAAAATATTCTCATACAAGATTTTGAAAATATTTCACATTGTTTTTGTTCATTAGACTGTAAATGATTTTTTATTATGGATGAAGATGAATGACGAAGTTTTTTATTAGTATAGACATTCTGATCAAATTTTCGTTTTTGATTATTTTCTTGACTTAAAAAAAAAAAATAGAAAATTCAATAATCTTTATTAATAATAATATAAAACGTATATTACTTTGTTGTTATATTAACATCAATAGATTTCATATGATAATTTGTATTATTTGTTGATGGATTTTTTTTTGTTTTATCTGACAATATATCATCTGATGAAAATAATTTTTCACGAATTGGTAATGAATCTTGTTCATTTTGTCGTCTTAAATATGATTTATATAAATTATTTGTTTTTATATTACGAGATGGAGATTCAATAGATGATGATGAGGATGATGACCAGCGATGATCAACATCAGATGTAAATGTTGATGATGATGATGGTGAAAGTTCAAATGACTAAAAAAGAAATATATATACATTATTTTTATGATATTATATTCAATAAAATATGTGAATTATGTGTATTCATATGCGTGTATGCATGTGATCGAATATGGAAAAAATTACATGTGTCATATTTTTGTAAATATATTTTAACTTTTGTACATGATGATAAAAGTTTACATTCACTTTTACTGTAGATAACAAGGGTGGCGCGACTGGGAAAGAATGAGAGTTACCCCTGCTTCAGAAAATGTTGGCTGGAACTTTCTCCGAATTTGGAAATTTTGGAGGTCAATTTTCTCCAAATTTGGGAAATTTACTAAGCAACTTTCTCCGATTTTGGAGAACACTTTTAAGCACTTTTCTCTAATTTTGAAGAAATATGTTATACAAATTTTTCAAAAATTGGAGGAAACTGTTTAATAACTTTCTCCGATTTTGAGAAAGCTGATCGAAACATTTCTCGGAAATCAGAAAATTGCCTAAAAGCATTCTCCAAACATGAAATTGTCCGAATTTATAGAAAATTGTTTAATGTATTTCTCTGAAAACAGAAAAATCCAATTCTGGAGAAAACTATTAGGCAATTTTCTTTCATTTTGGAGAAATTCGTTAGAATCTTTTTCTAAATTAAAAGAGAATTCAAAGTTCGAGAACAGTTTTGAGAAACTTTCTTCAATTTTGGAGAAATATATTATACAATTTTCTCTCATTCAGAGAAAACTTCAGCTTGGAGAACAATTTCTGACTTTCTCCGATTTTAGGACTGACCTAGCCCCGCTACGACCTCTTCGCGCCGCCTCTGGTAGATAAAAGAAATATGTGCAATATAAGGAAAGAGCGAGTCTACGGTACTTCAAAGTACAAATAATGTACTGTACTTCGCAGTGCTGAAGTTTCGCTTTTTCTTCCTTGTATATAACCTATGATGCGAAATTTTTGGTACAAAATATTTATTCATTTTTTGGCTACTTAATGACAGCTGGTTAGAATCAGCATCAGAATTTCCTGCTGGAGTAAGATCGGATAAGTATCGTCAGATTATTTCAAAACAGCATTTGTACAGAATATTGTTTTGGTCAATTTTGTGTTTCGATTATGAAGTTGTTTAATCTTATCTCAGAAAGAAAATTTGAAGATATATTCGGAAAGAGTGAAAATCTTGTGACGAGACTTTCACGCTATATGTTATTTGAAATTTTACAACTTTGTCATTAACAGGGCATAAGACTCCAACGTTTTTTTGGACTTGAACTGTAGTTCTAATTTCAACAAAACGTTGTAGTCTAAATCTGATTGTTACTCCGAGTTCTACCATTAATACGTCCTTAGACATTATAATCAATCTAAAATTGGCTGTTATGTTTAGAATATGGCACGCTGGTTCGATCAACAGGAAATTTTCAGAGTCGACTTTAGTCATCAATAAGTTTGTATATAAAGATGAATTGATTAGTCAAACATTTCGACATCAGTTCAAGGCATATTCGGCATATCTATTGGCTTTTCATGCAATCTTTCATTTGAAGATTTAGTATTCATGAAATTTTCTAGTTTAATATGTTCAAAATCTTTTAGACTACTCTTAATTCGAGAAGATATATTTTAGCAAAACTTCACTTGTATTATACTGATGATATAGATCGAATACTAACAACCTAAATTTTGATGATATAAATCGGTTTTTAACTGCTAGACAACAAATAAAATATTATTAAAAGAAGAATTTCTAGAATTCTTTGTCTAAACCCTTGATTATTAAAACTACAGTTGCAACTAATGAATATTGAATTTCCAAATATAGTTCTCTGATGCGAGTAGATTACAGTAATCGAGTTCACTTGAAAATACAATATCTCGAAATAGGAAGATTCTTTTGGGCTGAAATGTTCAGGATATTCTATGAGCCACGCGATCTATCCATGGGTAAAATTCCATAATGGTAAATATATAACTACGCTCCATACGTCTATGAGCACTAACCCTCGTAGGCTTTTGCTAGCCTCACTGAAGTCTACTTGTGAGAGTGGAACAATATCCTAATCCAATTTTCTATTTCAATCAATTTCTAATTAAACAAATTTAATTTCTATAAATATAAAAATTACTTGTATTCTTTCATCAACATCAGTTATTGTTGATGTTATTCGTAAATCTTGATCCATATCAATTTTTTTATCATATAATCCAACACCTGGTTGATAAATAAATGATAATTGTTGTTTATCATTAATTGTTGATGAAAAAGACATTGTCCAATTCGTTTGTGATGGCTGTATTATATCAGCCGTTATTACTGAAGGTGGATCGCACCACATTAAAAACTCATATCTAAAACAAGAAAAAAAACAATTATCGATTCTTCTTTTTCTTTTTTCTTTTTTTTTATTTTCTTAAAACGAATAATAAAGATGTTACAAATTCGTTTATAATTTCTTGTCCATCAACATAAACAAAAAAAGAAATGATTTCAACAAAACATATGATGATAAAATAATTCTTATATTGGTCTTGTTGAATATTAATAATTGATAACTTGATTTTTCTTCTTTTTTTCTGCACCTAATTCGAAATGTTTTGTTCGTTTAATAGCTAATTGTTTTTTGAATTTACATTCCGTACATTCCATACGTAGCACAATTTTTTTTGTTGTTTTAGCTTTTTTATGAAAGACAGGTTTTTTTTGTCCACCATAACCTTTTTGTTTCATATCATAACGTCGTTTACCTTGAACATGAACACTATCTTTGCCTTTTTTATATTGTGATACTTTATGTAAGGTATGTTTTTTGCAATTTTTTCCTTTGCAAAATGTACGACGTGTTTTTGGTACGTTTACCATTGTGTATTTTTGATGGAAAAGAAAACGAAAAAAAAACAAATCTAGAAAGAAATATCATTTAGAATAATGTTAGCGTTTTATATATATATACAAAAATTTTAATGATAAATAAATGAATGAAACAAACAAATACAACACTAAAAAAAAAACAAAAGCGAACAACAAATACAAATATGAGAATGTCAACATATCTGACAGAAGATTTTGTTTCTTTTTTTTGTTTCCATTTCGATTATATTTCGTATTTATTTACTGGACATACTACCAGGTGCTGGTAATTGTTGTAGAACATTGTCAAGCCATTGCATTGGACCATTAAGATGAATTTCTACCCAACATGGTGTACTCATAATAGTACGTCGACTAAAAATAATTGATATTAAAATTATAAATAAAAGAAAAATTTTTGGTTTTTTGTATTTACCGATATTCTTCACCCCAACCTTTAACAAAACTCATACGTATAGCACATATACGTGTAAGATTAAAAACAGCTTCATAACCATATTGAATTGTTTCTCTTAACATTTGAGCGAATTCTGTATTACTGAAAATTTTTAAATTACAACCTAAAACAAAAAATATTTATCTTTTTTTTTTGTTAGATTATCATTGAAGCGTATATAAAAAAAGGGTTCTACTTCCTCATTCTAATAAACATACACTGTGTAAATGTCTTGTTCTTCTTATACAAAAGCTTAGTGGCTTAACCAGAAGAGACTCAATTCGTTCCTTCAAGCGGATGAGTTCCGCTTAAAAAGGAGCTCGAGATCCTTGTAGAAGCATTACCATAGGGTCTCCACGCCTTCCGCAGACATCACCAGGGAGAGTTGAGTTCTTCGTAAAACTATTTTCTGATTAAGTCCGTCAGATCCGACGCAAGTTAAAATTACCTAAACATTGCATTAAAATGTATGTTTTATCGTCTTTTTGTAAACAATTTCCGTTGAGTCAAAAAAACTATTGAAGTTTTTAACCTTTATTCAAAGGACAGCGACGATACAAAGTATTTATTATCTGTATGTCGTATTGAAGTTACACTCTGTTGATATTTGTCATTAAGTTCAGATGACATTACGTTCTGTAACTGATGAAATGAATCCGTAAAGCGCAGTATTCTAATTTGAAATACGACTCAAACTAACAATTCATGTGTACAATTTATTTATACATAAACAATCTTTGCAATCATACCTTATATCAAGGCATTCAAAAGCTTAAGTTTACTTGACTCGTATTATGTTTCAGAGCTATTTGTATATCAATTCTGCACAAATGGAACCACTGAACTAATTTAGACATTGTAAGTTGACGTGGAGAATTTAAGAAGATTAAGATTAGTAGATAAGTGACAGATTTCTAAATTCTATTAGATTTATCAAAATGTCGACTTACCTTTCTATCATATGCAGCACATCATAATTAAATCCTTATTCTCATTCTTCCTAATCAGACGTGAAAAATAAATGTCAATATTTATAATAAAATTCTATTTGATTATGAAAAAAGAACTCCAGGAAGTTCCTGATTCTCAATAATGTCTACTTGAATAACATAGAAAATTAACTATAATTACATGTTTTTTTAAAATAATATCATCAATCCATTGATAATTATCTTTTTTTATGTCAATGTACAATGATTTCGACATAACATATATATATAAGCAAATTACTTAATATATTCTACGTGACGGTACGATAAAAAAAAAAAGAAACATCTTGAATCAAAGACTCTTTAACTTTTTCTTCTTTATATACAATTATTTTTTATTCAACCTACAAATGAATACTCCAGCCGTTCTATTTTAAGACTAAATATTTTTCATGGTGTCACAATGTCATTATGCTAGAATAAACTCTTTAATCATTAATATTTAACATCGTTAATAAAAATATTAACAATATACATACGTGGCGGAATTTTACAAACAGTTGCTGGATGCCATTGAAAACGTTGATTACAACTTGGACTTTGAACAAATATTGGTGTGTCAGATAAACATTCAGCAAATACTTCACCACCAATATAATAAAGTCTAACACCATTACCAATCATACTTCGACAAACTTCACTTTCTCTACTACGATTAACATTAGTTAATGAACCAAGACAAAAACGATCGGATGCATTTGGATCACAAAAACCATCAATAACAAGAGAATTTAATGATGCATGAAATGTTTCACCAACACGTTGATTTAATTCATAATAAAGTATTGAACACCAAAATGGTGTTTCAGCATAAGCAATAGATGCTGTTGGAATACCTTATAAAAAAAATAGAATAAAAGTTTTTGAGCTAATCAAAAGAAAAAGAATCAATTTTTCTTTTTACTATTAAAATTTGTTGTTGCAACTTGCTGTTGATTAATTGATGTTTGTGTTGGTGTCATTGCTTCATAATTATCTTGTACACTTGCTGGACTATTCACAGCTGTACGTTGTTGATCGGTTGGTGATGTAGCAACTAAAAAAAAAATGAATAACAACAAAATTTTCTCTATAAATTTCTTTTTTAATTAATTACAATCCATAGGAACAGTTGAATCTGGTTGTATTTGCATACGTTCACTTGTTGTTGAATCAAATACAGCACGATCACAAATTGGTACATGAACTGGTGGAATATCTAAAAAATAAAATATTATTTAAAACTTTAATTAAATATTGGGTTTTTTTTTTTTGTTTTACATGGTGCAACAACTCGTTCATAATGATAAGGATTAATACATATTTGATCTTTTTCATGTTGAAATGCATATACACATGTATCAATTGGTCGTAATTCTAAATGTGTATTTAAATCTGGCCAACGCCATATACGACAAAAAGCAACAACAGGTGTAACATCATTAAATGCTTTTCGAACTGTTTGTGATGGATTTGGTTCAACTAATTTATTTTGTGCCTCTCTAAACAAAGGAAATTTTTGATGAAATATAAAACAGATAATATCATTTGTAGGCGAAAGCACATAAATTTATAATAAAATACTTCAACTCACAAGAGAGCATATTAATCGTTCTCAGACGAATACATTTAACCAATACAAAAAACAAAACGATGGAAGACGCTATTAACAAACTGCAAATCAACTACATGAACTTTATTTTTCCCATCGATCAGTTTTCGTAGACTCATACAAAAGATCTTTCTATGTCCGATCTATTCATTGCATTTTTCGACAAGAATAAAAACCTATCTGTATATGAGATACGAAGTCAAATATCATAGATGTATCATATTAGACATCCATAAGATGAATAAACGAGAAAAGTAAAGTTTTCTTTTTACAGTAAAACCTCTCTATGTGAGCAACGTATTCTTGAATTTAACTTGATGATAAATATGTTTGTCTTTGATTGAATGTCAAGTCATCTGAGCTCAATAATCTCTCGATCGAAGCGTAAACATAGAATCTGCTCTTCGGTCTAGGTTATCTCTAGGTCAAATAATGTAACTTTATTTGATACAAAAAAAAATGAAATTTACCTTGGAATATTAACACAACGTGTTTGTGAACTTTGTGTTTCTAATGCTGTTTGTAAATCATCAATCATTGATGGTTTAGTTAAACGTTTGATTAAACCTTTAATAGCTTTTTCTGACCATTTATCTTCACTTGTATTTGACTGAATATTTTTTCTATGTTGTAATAAATTTTTTAATGTTTGAGGATTAATTGAAAATGAAAATGGCAAATTAAATAAATGGCTCATCGTTTTTTGTAAATAACAAGAAGAAAAAGAAAAAAAACAGAGTCAAATCCAATTGAATATTAATTTAAAATAGACAAAAAACACAAACGAGTAAGAAAAAAAAAGGATTGTCGGCATATTGAAATGATTTGTTATATTAACCTCTACTTCTTATTTGTATAGAAAGTCAATAGAAAAAAAAATAAATTTTTTGAATAAGAATAAATTCTTTTTTTCTGAAAAAAAAATATTTATTAAAATTTAAAAAAATTAAATTTTCGTAAAATATTTTTTTGTTTTATTTACTTTTATCGATAGATGGGAGTTCAGTATAACGTATTGAAATAAAAAGTAAATTTTCATTAGAACCATATATTAACCAATAGAGAATTGATCATATTTAAACTTTCACTGAATATTTGAAAAAAAAAAATTATTGCCTTGTGATTGACAAATCGTTCCATGTTTGTATGTTTTTAATATGCCCTTGATAAAATTCTTTTTCTTTTTTTGCGTATAAGGAATTTTTTTTATTATGTTTTTTGTTGAATTAATTATTTAAATTTATCTAAGTACGAGTTTTGCATATGAATCAGTTTTTTATTTATTTACCTTGAATTCATTAAGAATTCTTATAGAAAAATATATTAGAAATAATCATAGAACTTCAAGTATCTACATTTTTTTTTCGTGTTTTGTTGTTTATATTATGTTTAATCTTAAGTGATAAGCATGGAATTGAACATAATGATTGACTTATATATTATTCTGTTTATTTAAAGTCATAGAAGAATTTTGTTTTTGTTCTTCATAGAAAAATTTTCGAATAGTTAATATTCACAGTTATTTTATCTCCAGTTAAATTTTAATTTTAATAATAGTTCGACATAAAAACTATCTAAAAATGTTTATTTAGAAATTCGTTGAATATCGGAGAAAAAATTTTGTTTTTATTTAATTTTTCGAAAAAATAAAAAAATCTGTTTCAGTTGATTACAGACTATCAATAAGTGTATAATTATTTCACAACGATGAAATAGAGTTTAATGTGTTTTTTTGTGCTACTTCATTTGTTAGAATAATGGCTAGATCGAGTGTGATTGCACCGATTACAAGAATTGAGAATGTAATACCAATCATTCTTGCATAACTCTTACGGAAAAGTATGCCTCCATTATGTATATAACGAGCAATAACAAAAATACTTCCATAGACAATTAATCGTGTTGTTGTACTTTGAAGTACTTCAGTAAAAACGAAAAATAATAGAAGAAAATGAACCATAAAATGAGTTTCATATTCTAATGCTTTTTTAATTCGCCTTTTAATACTCGAAATTTTATGTTTAAAGGTACGATTCAATTGTTGAGTATTATTTGACATTGTCTGATTCATTCCATCAGTTTGTTGTTGAAATACTTTTTCATCTCCTACAAGAATTACTTGCTTGCTTTTTATACGAAATAATATTAATATAAGAAAAAGAGTTATATTTTTCCATATAAGACCAATAGATACCCAAGCAAATACACATCGTTTTATATATGAATCGTAATCGAATGATGAAGCCATTAAGATTGATTATGAATGGACGTGTGTGCTTGAAGAAAAGGCTATATAAATAGAGAGATTAGTTCTTTTTGTTTTTGGTTAATATTAAAATTTTTATCAATGCTTTTTTTTTTCTTGTTTCTTCAAGAATATTTTCTTTCTGAGTAATATCTTGAATGATAATGTACTTAAAAGGATAATGTTTTTGAGATAAAAATGATTTGTAATGGATCTGTAGAATTTTTCTAGGTTAAAAATTGTATTTATTGACTTAGATTTATCAAAAATAATATGTTTTATTGATGTAAATAATTTAATCTTTTAGATGTTGATTTTGTTTATAAAATATGTTCAAACTTGAATCATATATAACTCCATGGCTTCTATCTTATATTGATCAATATGTAAAATTAAGACGTGAAGATTTTCAATTATCTTTATGGGGTGGTGATGTTGTTTTTTATAATCTCGAATTACGTTTAGCTAATATACAAAAATTAGTTCCAACACTTCCAATTATTTTTCAAAGTGGAATTATTCATGAGTTACGTATTCATGTATGTTTATATAATTTACAAAATAAAATTTTTACAAAAAAAAAAAAAAAAAAATTTCTTTTAAAAATAGATTCCATGGATTCGGATAAATTCTGAACCAATTGTTGTAACAATAAATCAAATTGAACTTGTTATTGTTTTAAATAAAGAATGTACATTGTCTAATGATAATTCATTATCATATGAAGATGATATTGATTCTGATCATATACTTATACAACAACAACAACCAACAACACCTGAACAATCAAATTATATACAAACTGTTCTTGCACGTATACTTAATAATGTACATATTGTTGTTAATAATTTAATAATAAAATTTATTGAAGAAAATATTGTTATATCATTATCATCACGTACAGCTGAATGTTATGCTGTTAATCAAAATTGGTTTAAATCATTTATTGAATTATCACAACAAGATTTATCATTACGACGTTTAATAACATTACCGGATTTAACATTATGTTTAGATAAACGTGATAGTACAGGTAAAGTTCATCGTTATGAAGTACCATTATTATCACGTTGTTCATTTGAATGTCGTATACAAATGTTATATTCAAATGTCTATCAACAATTAAATACAAAACCTATACAAACACGTTTAAGTTTTAATTGTGCTAATATTGAAGTATCAATTGCTGATAATCAATTATCAATGATAATGCGTTTAACTGAAATTATTATGTTACTTATTAATCAACAAATACATTCAAATGAAGAAGATAATTCTTCAAAAGAACAAAAAAAAATTTTACATAATCAATTATCTGAACGGTTATTTTCAGTACCATTACCATCAACACCATCACTACCACCAACACCACCAGTTTTACCTCCAATAATAAATTCTGAAGATAAAACAAATATTTCAGATAATTCTCAATCAGGTTGGGTTTCATGGGCATGGTCTTATGTACCATCAGTAACAACACTTTTTGCTGAAGATGATTTTCCACCAGAAATTGATAATTCTAATAATATATCAAATGGACAACAAATTAATAAAGAATCTCGATTAGAGGAACAGAATATATTAACAGCTAATAATATAAGTCATACTCCAACACCAATTCTTTTTGCTGGTATTGAATTAGATCGAATTAGTTTACAATATAAGGTAAGATATTAGAATTTTGTTTTTTTTTTTGTTAAATTCAATTGAAATAATATTTTTTCTAGATTACAAAATCAACTGGTAATAAAACTTCTCTTATTCCATTTATTGGATTTCTTGTTGAAAAAGCAAGTATGTAACATAAAAGTAAAATCTTTTAAAGAACACAAGTTAGAGAATGTTAATTATTAAGTTAAGTTTAATATAACAGATCTATCTGACATAAGCATAAATATAAATTACTAAATATGAGTGATAGTTTTCTATTTGAGATATAAATGATTTTATGATTTATTTATTTATTTATTTATTTAGATATAATTGTTGAACGTTATAAACCTACAAGTACAACAGCTGTAGATGGCCAATCAATTGTATCTCGTGTACGTAAAGTAAAAGTATCAACATCAAAAATGTCTTTAATGTGGGATGAACGTTTATGTTTATCATTATCTGATGTTCATTTTACATTACATTATGATCGTCATGTACGTATGACACATTTTTCTTTAATTATAAATGATTTAAATGCACGTTTCAATAATAATCTACTTATATATCCATGTCAAGCAACATTAAAACTTGATCATCATCGAACATATTCATTACTTCATTTAGAATTTTCATCATTAACAGGAAAAATTGATTTTCATCTATTAGCTTATTTAATAACTGTTATTAATCAAATACGAACAATAGTTGATACAGCTGTATTAATATTTCAACCAACAAAAGTTATTGAATTAAGTAATGATGATATTATATCTGTTGATGATTTAAGAAATGGTTCAATGAAATGGATATTTCAATCATCACATGAATTACCTAATATAAATGAAATTTTTTTTACAACAACAAATCATCATAATATAGCATCTTGTATGACATGGAAATATCCACAAAGACGATCAATTCTTAAATGTCATATACTTCCTTTACCATTTGATCATGATGATGATGATCTTACTGGAAGTGTTATGTCACATAAAATAAGAACGGTAAAATAAAAATTTGAAATAGATGAATTTTAAACTGATAAAAAATTTGAGTTTACTCATAGAAGCTTGCAATCGGATGCAGTTACACGTCAAAGAAAGACACCAGATTGAGTTAAGCTACAACTAACACTATAAAATTTAGTACTTACAACGTCGAGTACGGGGTTGCACAGTCTTTCGCATAGCTTCATGAATAATCTTGTGGTTTCTTATCATAGTATAGATCTAATAAAATTGAACATCTGATCTTCTATAAGTTTAGACCTTCAATAGTAATCATAACTGCCGCGAACGAAAGTGATTCTAGGTAGAGCGCATTGGATTCGGATACAGAAATTTTTGGACCCGATGGACTCTTCCCACAAAAGATTAATCAATTATGTTCGAATCCAAAATTTTGATTGACTGCGTCTGAGTTTGGGTCCAAAAATTCTTGGACCTGATGGACTCAAGTTCTAGGACTCTACTCAATTTTACAGACTTTTGTTTGGTTTTTATAGGAAGTTAAACGATTTTAGGTATAGAAATCCTCATTTGATCTACATGTACAGTTGTATCATATAATCATACTGTAATATTAAAAGCATAAGAAAAAGAGAAAATGTTCTATGAGGCTAATCTTTTTTCTCCATGATAGAGGACACTTAAGAGTTTTTTTTCCATAAGAACTTTATGACCTGATAGGCCATAACATAAATCTAAAATTTCGAAAAGCATCAGCAAGGATAGATGATCTTTCACTTCATTGTACTTAAGAAAAAACAAACAATCACCTATCGCATAACGAAACACATGAGGTAGCAATTACTTCCCCGGAAAAACAAATTTGACGAAGCAATCGGCACTTATTGCCTCCGCGTACCTGTGTCCACCTTACCAATATTAATACATAGTAGAGTATATATTTAAGTTTTGATTTCATTACTCAACTGAGTCTGAGTGCTGATTTTCTAAAAATTTCTTTAAATAAAATTGAAAAAAGAATTTCTTTTGTAGGTTGAATGTTTAATGCAATATTGGCATTTTGGTACAAAACAATTTGTAACTTGGCAAACATTTGATTTATCTGATGGTCAACCATTATTTCTTGATTTTAGTAATGATCTTGGACAAAATCCATATTCCGAAATGTGGCGTATTGTTTTACTTAATGCATCATCAATTATAAATCAATCAAATTCATTAGCTGCATCAACACGTATTGATTCATTACAAAGTCAACGTTATGAACCATCAATTGAAATGACAATTAAAATACCAAATATACGTGTACATTTTATGATAGATCCACAGGTTGAATTTTTGTTTTGCTTTTTAAATTTGTTTAAAATACTTTATCATTTTTTTGATATTTTGATATAGAAAGATAATTTATCTTCAACATTTCAATCAATTCTTAATGGATGTAAACATGATGTTCTTACATTAAATTTAGATAATATATCATTTGATTATAGTCAACGTCTTGAAACAAGATTAATAAGTATTGAAACAATATTATCACTTGAAGCATTAGAATATCGATTTTTAACAAAACGTTCATGTATTGAACCAGCTTTAATTAATCTTGATTTATTTATTGATATATCAAAATCAAGTATATTAACAAATTTACCAGATATATTTGATTTAAATAATGGAAAATATAATCAATTATTTCGTTCAGCTAAAACGTCATTTGTTTGTCAATTACATTTTGATATTGATCATATTAATATTCGATTAAGTCAATCATTATGTCATTTAATTAATATACTTTATCAACATTGGATTCGATCAGATATGATTGAAGTTTTACAATTAAATAAATTAAAACAACAAGGTAGAAATTTAATAAACAGATAGAATAAATAATGAACTGAATACATTGCAAGGAAAATATAATAAGAAAGAGATCGTATTCTCCAGAAAACAAAAAAATCGTTGAATTTTTCAATCCGTCATGTGTTCTGTTCTTGGTAGACGATCACTCTGTGGAAAAGAGGATTGAATGACATGAAAAAGACTAATTTGTTTTTCTTTCGTGACAATATTGAGTCGAAAAAAGCAGTTTTGTATTCTATAGTATTGATGTAATAGAAAAGGAAATACATAAAAATTAATATATTGAAAACAACGCATATGTTTTGCAAATGTTCTCTGATCTACTCGAACAATTTTTGTTCTATTGTTCAGAAAAACACTTCCGGATATTAAAAAAAAAAGACCTTGGATCTGTTACTGAAATTTCGTACACTATTCTTGATTGTTCTCTATCTGCTTAATAGTGGCAATGCGATGTGCTTTGTGTCTTATTGTCTATAATTCATCAAGCTGTTGTAGAACTTTTGAAACTTATATGAA